CCAACCCTGCAAGCACCTCTTCTGAGGTCGCAATTGCCATTGTAAGTCTCATTTGAATATCTTCCCCTGTCCTACTTCCCTTTCCTGGTGCAGGCTAAGAAGTCCTGAAAAACACCAGCTTGTTGGAGATTTCATGATCACACTTGCTGAGGAGAACATTCTGACAGTGAAGTGTTAAATGTTTTGACAAGTTCAAATGTTACTATTTGATGCTGTATTGTAATGTAGATGTGCTTTTATTTCAAGGGCTTCTAATAGAGGTCTGTCGTGAAATGTAGGTTGGCCATTACATTAGCTCTCATTGCTTATGAGTTGAGATGCATTAGAGTTCTTTTCCCATTGGAGTGTATTCAAAACTGACAACTAAAACACCACTTGGGTTCTCTAGCGTAATGGTCTGAAGTGATTTAAATGCTCAGTTAATTATCATTACTCTGGACTTTCCCTTGTCCTTTTTTCACAGTTGAAATAAACCTTATGATACAATGATCACCAGCCCCTTAATGTTCCTCCACTCCTGCCTTCATTTTTCAGAGCAGAGGGAGAGGCGACAGCAAGGACCAAGGGACTGCCGGGAATATATTTGGGCAGCGGCTGGATCGTACCGATGGGACGGTCTCCACCTGAACCGATCTGGAACCAGTGTTCTAGCGAAAAGGATAAATAGGGTGGTCACTAGGACTTTAAACTAGTGAGTTGGGGGGAAGGGAAAGGGAAAACGACAGGGAGTATGATGGTAAATAAAAAGGTAAGCAGCAGGTTAGCATGTGTGCAGGAGGGTTTAGGTTCAAGGCAGACTATGAAAGAAGCAAAAAGGAAGGATAACTCAGGAGATATTATTAGAGATGTTGGAAATCATGAGGGTAAGAAAGCTAGCATAAAGGCACTTTACCTGAATGCTCGTAGCATTCGTAACAAGGTTGATGAGTTAACGGCACAAATCATCACGAATGAATATGATTTGGTAGCCATTACAGAGACATGGTTACAGGATAGTCATGACTGGGAGTTAAATATCCAAGGGTACCAGACTATTCGGAAGGACAGACAGGAAGGTAAGGGAGGTGGTGTAGCTCTGATATTCAAGGACGACATCAGGGCAGTGCTGAGAGATGATATAGGTTCTATGGAGAATGAGGTTGAATCCATTTGGGTGGAAATTAGAAATTCTAAGAGGAAAAAGTCACTGATAGGCGTAGTCTATAGGCCACCAAATAATAACATCACATTGGGGCGTGCAATAAACAAAGAAATAACTAATGCCTGTAAAAATGGTACGGCAATTATCATGGGGGATTTTAATCTACATGTAGATTGGTCGAACCAGCTCAGTCAGGGCAGCCTTGAGGAGGAGTTCATTGAGCGTACAGTTCTTGAACTGTATGTAATGGAACCGACGAGCGAGCAAGCTATCCAAGATCTGGTCCTGTGTAATGAGACAGGAATAATTAATGACCTCATAGTTAGGGATCCTCTTGGAAGGAGTGATCACAGTATGGTTGAATTTAGAATACAGATGGAGAGTGTGAAGATAAAATCCAATACCAGGGTCCTGTGCTTGAACAAGGGGAACTACAATAGAATGAGGGAGGACTTGGCTAAAGTAGACTGGAAACAAAGATTTTATGGTGGGACAGTTGACGAGCAGTGGAGGACTTTCAAAGCAATTTTTCAAAGTGCTCAGCAAAAGTATATTCCAATGAAAAGGAAGGACTGTAAGAAAAGGGGTAATCTGCCATGGGTGTCTACAGAAATAAGGGAGGCTATCAAATTGAAAGAGAAGGCATACAAAGTGGCCAAAAACAGCATGAAACTAGAAGATTGGGCAAACTTTAAAGGTCAACAGAAAGCCACAAAAAGAGCTATAAAGAAAAGTAAGATAGAACATGAGAAAAAACTAGCACAGAATATAAAGACAGATAGCAAAAGTTTCTATAAATATATAAAACGAAAAAGAGTGGCTAAAGTAAACGTTGGCCCTTTAGATGATGGGAAGGGGAATTTAGTTATGGGATATGATGAAATGACTGAGGCATTGAACAGGTATTTTGTATCGGTCTTCACAGTGGAGGACACCAATAACAATTGACAAAGAGATGAAGGTAGATGAGGACCTGGAAACAATCATTATTACGGAAGAGGTAGTGTTGGGCAAGCTAATGGAGCTAAGGATTGATAAGTCTCCTGGCCCTGATGGAATGCATCCCAGGGTACTAAAAGAGATAGCGGGAGAAATAGCAGGTGCACTGGTGGTAATTTCCCAAAATTCGCTGGACTCTGGGGCAGTCCCAGCAGATTGGAAAACAGCAAATGTGACGCCACTATTTAAAAAGGGAAGTAGACAAAAGATGGGGAATTATAGAACGGTTAGCTTAACCTCTGTAGTGGGGAAGATGCTTGAGTCTATTATCAAGGAAGAAATAGCAAGGAATCTTGATAGAAATTGTCCCGTTGGGCAGACGCAGCATGGGTTCATGAAGGGCAGGTCATGATTGACAAATCTTTTGGAATTCTATGAAGACGTTATGAGCAAGGTGGACAATGGGGAGCCAGTGGATGTGGTGTACCTAGATTTCCAAAAGGACTTCGACAAGGTGCTGCACAAGAGGCTACTGCATAAGATAAGGATGCATGGCGTTAAGGGTAAAGTATTAGCATGGATAGAGGATTGGTTGACCACAAGGAAGCAAAGAGTGGGGATAAATGAGTGCTATTCTAGCTGGCAGTCAGTGACTAGTGGTGTGCCTCAGGGATCGGTGTTGGGACCGCAATTATTTACAATTTATATAGATGATTTGGAGTTGGGGACCACGTGTAGGGTGTCAAAGTTTGCAGATGACACTAAGATGAGTGGTAGAGCAAAGTGTGCAGAGGACTGTGAAACTTTGCAGAGGAACATAGATATATTGAGTGAGTGGGCAAAGGTCTGGCAGATGGAATACAATGTAAATAAATGTGAAGTCATACATTTTGGTAGGAATAATAGTAAAAAGGATTATTACTTGAATGGTAAAAAGTTGCAGCATGCTGCTATGCAGAGGGACCTGGGTGTCCTTGTGCATGAATCACAGAAGATAGGTCTGCAGGTACAACAAGTAATTAGGAAGGCAAATGGAATTTTGTCCTTCATTGCTAAAGGGATTGAGATTAAAAGCAGCGAGGTTATGTTGCAGCTGTACAAGGTGCTGGTGAGGCCACACCTGGAGTACTGTGTGCAGTTTTGCTCTCCTTACTTGAGAAAGGATGTACTGGCACTGGAGGGGGTGCAAAGGAGGTTCACTAGGTTGATTCCAGAGTTGAGGGGGTTGGCTTATGAGGAGAGACTGAGTAGATTGGGATTATATTCATTGGAATTCAGAAGATTGAGGGGGGATCTTATAGAAACATATAAAATTATGAAGGGAATAGATAAGATAGAAGTAGAGAGGATGTTTCCACTGGCAGGTGAAGCTAGGACAAGAGGGCATAGCCTCAAGATTAGAGGGAGCAGATTTAGGACTGAATTGAGACGGAACTTCTTCACCCAGAGGGTTGTTAATCGATGGAATTCCTTGCCCAGTGAAGTAGTTGACGCTACTTCAGTAAACGTTTTTAAAGATAAGGTAGATTTTTTTTGAACAATAAAGGAATTAAGGGTTACGGTGAGAACGCGGGTAAGTGGATCTGAGTCCAGGAAAAGATCAGCCATGATCTTATTGAATGGCAGAGCAAGCTCGTAGGGCCGGACAGCCTACTCCCGCTCCTAGTTCTTATGTTCTTATACCAGTTAATCCACTATGCCCACTTCATTCCTGTGAACCAGATCCAGCAATGTAATAATGTGATATTTCTTACTCTAGTAGTAATATTACTCCTAATATTCTGTTTACATTGGTATTTTTCTCTAATGTTACATTCAGGTCCCGACATGCTACCCAAATTATTTTAAACCCTCCCTGATAGTATTAGCAATTGTTTAGCAAAACAAATTGGTTTTGGTTCTGTTTAGGTGCAAATGATCTAACTTGTGCAGGTCTCATGTCCCCTAGAGCTGGTTCCCTTGTCCCAAGTCCCTAAAAACCTCTGACCTGCACCACCTTTCAAGTAACATATTCATCTGGGGGTTTGAAGCAGCAAGGCAGTTGTGTGAGTGCACAGAGGGGACATGGCGAGCATGAAATGATGTGCAAGGCATATGAGGAATTGGAGGCAGTTGAGTGCTTGAGGTTTAAAGGACTTTTGAATGATGTTGGTAGTTGGACTCCTGTCTCTATAAATCAAGGTGTGCCTTCTAATCAGCCTATCTCCCACATTACATCCCAGCTCATAGGACCTAAGCTCTCTTTGCCCATCTCTCTCGGAGACAAACTATGGTAGGAGTAAAATTAGGAGAAAGGTTTACCTTTCAGCAACCTTAAATGGCCTGACTCACTTCTTCCCAGTCTGACACAAAAGTCTGGTCCAAAAACCGTAAAATTATTTCTCAGATATTTTAAGTGGTCTGAAAATTGGAGCATATATATGAATGAAGAACTGAATTCTATTTGATAATTAAACTTTTACTTTTTTGCAAATACATACTTTTACAAAATATGCTTCTTTCTCGTCCTTTTCCATGATACTTTGTATCTTGCCAATATTCCGAACATTGCAAATTGAATTGAGAAAGGGCGTAGTTGTTGCCTTTTGCTATTATCAATAAACCAAAAGCAGACTTACATTTTACTAAAAAACTAATGGGATCAAATTTAAAATAATGAAATGAGGCAGAAATATAATTTACTGCAAGGACCAAACCAGTACTGCAAGCAAATAAAATCAAGTGTGCTGCAGACATTTGTGGAGGGATTAAATGCTCTGATCATTATCAGTGTTTCATAAACATTAGTGGCAGATATATTTACCTGTGCTTGAATTTCGAACTTGCTAGATTGCTGCAGGCACAGAGGAAGAAACAGCAAGCTAACAGTTGGCTATACTCACATAGACTCAGTTAGATTCACTTTCCTGCTCCCAAGACCATGGATTTCATCTCCCAGAAGAATGATACTGTAGTGAGCTACGTGGAATTCAGAAAAGATTTATTCTTTCCTCTCAATGACAGCCTGTCAGCCACTGTGTTCAACCATTCCTTACAATTGCCAACACTGACAATTTCAGGTGTGGTTAGAGTGGCCATCACCTTCTTCCTCATGATCTTGTCCATTACAGGCAATATACTTTTCCTGGTGAAGCTATCCAAACAGCATCAGAAAAAGGGATCACGGATCAAGTTGCTACTCAAGAACCTTATAGCAGCCAATTTGCTACAGACCCTGATTGTTATGCCAATGGATGGCGCCTGGAACATCACAGTGCAATGGTACGGTGGCGGATTTCTTTGTAAGGTCCTAAACTTTTTCAAACTCTTCTCCATGTACTGCCCTGCATTCATGGTGGTGGTGATCAGTGTGGATCGATGTTTGGCGATTACTAAACCCTTGAAAAGTGCAACTGGATGTATCTGCACTGGAACATGTATGATCGTGATGGCTTGGTTCTTCAGCATGGTCTTGGCTTTACCTCAGGTGTGAACCCTATACTGATGTGCACGTCTTTAAGAATCATTGCTGTGTAGAATTTTATAAAGCATTATGGACATTTAAAGCTTTGCTGCTCTAACTATATATATTACCAGATGTTTCTGAAGCTAATTTTTGCAAGCCGAAGATTTAACTTTGCTTTTTATGTTTGGCAATTATCATCAAATTGACACAAACTGTCAGTCAGGTCAAGTCTATTATAACCTCCACATTGTGTTATATGACTTATCTATATTCTATACATAACCCTACCTTGTTTGTTTGATTTCCCTCTAATGTTCCAAATTATGTACTCTACTGAGATTATTAATTGTATTTCTCAGTTGAAATTCCTTGAAAAACGGTCTGGTACGTTACACATGTAATCCTCATTCATGTGTGTGCCAGGGATCACACTCAGCTGATTCACCCATCTATACAGACCCACCAGCAGAGGTGACCGGCTACATTTAGAAAAGAATCCCTGACTGATTTCGCATAGTTAACCCTGGAAACTTATGCCCATTGTACTGCCACAACCTAACAACACAGACTGTGAAATGAATCTGGAGCATCTCAGTCTTCATTTCATTGACCTCCCAGGTAATCTAGGAATTGGGCTTTCATAACTTCAATCAAATACAATTCCCTGCCACTTCAAAAATACAGTGAAATATAGTTTACTAAATACAGTTGGATTACTTATGATGCTAGATGACTCAAATCCATCGCAATGGACAATACCGCACATTAAACACACTCAAAACTGTTACCTATAAAAATCTTAAGATATGGCAATTGTCTACAAAGCCATTATTTGACCATTCCAAAACTACTTAGGGAAGTAGTGGTGAATGGTGCAGTGTCTAATAGAAAGGGGAAAGATAATTGATAACCTTACCAAACTTCAAAAGAATAAATCCATTGGTCTGGATGGAATGCATTTGCAGATATTAAGAAAACGGAAAACATTATTGAGGCACTTTAGAATTATAAATATAAGAAGTGGCAGGCAGCTGGTGTAATTCCTGTGTTTAAAAACAAGTTTTGTATAAGTCCCTATAGTTTCATATTGCTAGTAGGAAAGGTAATGCAATCTTTATTTAAAGATGTAATGGGAAAATATTTTGAAACTGAAAATATAACTATCAGATTTCATGTGGGATTAAGTGTTTAATTGAATTTATTAAATCCAATGTATAAGTAAAAGGAAAGCAAGCATCAGTTTGCACATCTTCCCTGAAGATCTTTCCTTCATAACCTCCAAGCAGCCTGCTTTTACCTCCTTCCAAGATCCACAAACACAACCATTCAGCATACATGGGCAATATTCAGAATTGCCAAGTAACATTTATGTCACACAAGTGCCAGGCAACAACCACCTCCAAGAAACAATAAAACTACCTCATTGTTGAATCCACCACTATCAACATCCTGAGGTTAACGTAGACCAGAAATGTAACTGGACTGAGATGAAGTGGAACGCCTCCTGCAGAACCATATGGGTCACATGTACGTTCTTTCTTGATAGCAGCCCCCACCATATCAGATCCTGAGCAATCTTGACAAGGTACAGGCAGAATAGATGTTTCCCCATGATTGACTAGGATTTCAAAATTAGGGGAAATCACTTTAAGATTAATGAGATTTTTTTCTCATAGATGGTCATGAATATTTGGAATTCTATCTGAAAAGGCTGTGGATGGAGAGTCTCTTAACACTTTTATGGTAGATACATTCTTAATAAGCAAGAGTGTGGACGGGAATGTGGAATAATCAGATTAGCCATGATCTTATTGAATGATGGAGCAGGCTTGAGGGGCTAAGTGGCTGATCCCACTCTAAGTTTGCTCATTCAGAAGTAATTTCAATGTAGATAAGTGTGAAGCAATCCTTTTTGGTAGAAAGCATTAAGAGCTCAAATACTTCTTCAAGCAAACGAGCCTGAATGGGTTAGAGATGAAGTACAGCTATATAAACATCAACAGCAGCAGTATTGATTTATAAACCCATGTAAAACATGATCGAATAGCAAGCTTAATTTCTAGAGGGATAGAATGACAAAGCAGACAAGTTATTTAAAACTTATTTAGAACCTTGATTATACCACATGTAGTAGTGGGCACAGTTCTGGTTTGCATATCATAAGAAGCATATAGATGCGATGCAGACGGTACAAACAAATTTAAAGCATCAAAACAGTGAAGATAGACCAAAAATGCTTTGCCGCTTCTGTAGAAAAGAGAAGGATAAGAGTTGACCTGATTAATATTACAAAGTGTTTGATTGCATAGACATAAAAAAAAGTTGTTTCCATTTGTCGAGAAGCTGTCCACAATATAAAGCTGACCATAATAAACTTAACTGGTAATTTGAAAGAATTCTCCTTACTCGAAGGTGTTTAGGATATGGAACTTGGAGGTGATTAATGCATTGAAAGGTGAGCAAGTTAACTGCATGTCGGAGAAAAAATTAAAAGCTTTCACTGGATTAGGTGAAGAGGGATGGGGGAGGCTTGTATGGAGAATAAACAATAGTATGGACAGTTGGCACAAATACCCTGTTTCTATAATAAACGCAACCTACTGGAATTACTAAACATATCTGGTAGCATCAGCAGAGAGTGAGAAACAGAGTTAACATTTCAAGTTGATGACCTTTCATCAGAATTCAATGGTCAGTTTCTGTTTAGTATAATCTTTATATCTCCCGCAATGGTGTAAGCAGGGAATTCCCATGGATTTTGATTCGTAATCAATGAAAGAATTGTGATCAATGGCAAGTTCTTGAACAGACCCATTCACAAATACTTAACAAAGATAATTGGAAAAGAAAACAAATCTGTTTCAAAAAAACAAATGCATCATTAGTTATTTATACTGTTTAAGATGTTTCAGAAAGAAAACATGTGGCCTGAAGTGTATATAAATGACCTAGCTTCCTCTTGAGACAACAAAGTAAAAACTGCTGTACTAGCTCTATCCTTTTCCCATCATAATGTTGGTAATGATTATGTACTATTTCCACCAAGTATACAATCTAGAATGGGTATCCCAGGTCACTCCAGTTTCTCTTACCCAAATGCATCAAAATCAGTTGATATCAGCTAACTCAGCAAAGATGCTGCAGTTTCTGGGTAAAATGCTACTCTCAGTATGATATGGTCTGAATGTTCCCAATGTGTTAGTACTTAAATCGTATACCATGAAGACCAGGTTTTTTTGTTGAGACGGCTGTGTTGATTTTACTAAGAAAACTAACTAACTGTAAGGAGGGTCCAGACCCAAAACGTCAGTTTTCCTGCTCCTCTGATGCTGCCTGGCCTGCTGTGTTCATCCAGCTCCACACCTTGTTATCTCAGACTCCAGCATCGACAGTTCCTACTATCTCTAACTATTTATCCTGTTATGAGATCTCATTTTTCTGGGTTTTGCTCTTACAGGCTATATAAGAGCAAACATATACTAACTGCAAGCAGGTTACTAGTATACTGCTACCTCTCAAGGTGAAGCTGGAATGTAACATACTGTGATATTATCTAACTATCTTAAAGTTACACTGCTTCTCTAGACTCGGATCTATGCAATAAATACAACAGAACCTGTGCCTCCTCTGTTTTCAGCAACTTGCTGCATATGCAGAGTCATTAAGGAATCAACAAAAAAAATGTTTTCTCAATAATGTTATGTTTCAGGGAATGGTACAGCCTGTGCTACCTTACCACCACCTCCACTCCATTGGCTCCTCCACTACCTCTGATTTGTCAGTTGTTTTTCCTGTCCTGAATACCCCAATTTTTCTCCAATTAAATATTGGGAAGATTGATGAGCCTTTCCTCAGCCCTTGTCATAATTCTGTTCCTAATTATCCCCCAACTGAGGCCAAACCAGACTCTTTGCAACCTGAGATAACACAGTGTGGAGCTGGATGAACACAGCAGGCCAGGCAGCATCAGAGGAGCAGGAAAGCTGATGTTTCAGGTCGGGATCCTTCTTCAGAAATGGGGAGAGGGAAGGGAGCTCATAAATAGGGACTCCTCTCACTATTTATTTCTGAGCTCCCTTCCTCCTCCCCATTTCTGAAGAAGGGTCCCGACCCTAAACATCAACTTTCCTGCTCCTCTGATGCTGCCTGGCCTGCTGTGTTCTTCCAGCTCTACACTGTGTTATCTCTGACTCCAGCATCTCCAGTTCTTGCTATCCCCTTGCGACCTGAGTATCCTATTTGACCCTGAGTTCAGCTTCCAACTCCATTTTTCTTAGACTTCAAAGAGCACATACTTCCAACTCCAAAATATTGCTATCTCTGTCTCAGCCCATCTGCTACTGCCTCTTTTCTATGCTTGTTAACTTGAGACTGGATGTTTCAATGCTTTCCCAGCTTTCCTCCTATCTCTGACCCTTTGCAAACTTAAGGTCATCCAAAGCACTGCTGTTCATATCCTAATTTGCACCAAGTCATGTTTGTTCATCAGCTGTGCTCAGTGACTGAAATTGCTTCCGAGTCCTCAGAGGTTTGAATTAAAATTTCTAATTTTTACATTTAAATCTGTTGTATGGTATCTCCCTTCCCTATCTCTGTAACCTCTTCCATTTCTGCAATCATCTGGAATCATCATAGAACCCTACAGTGCAGATAGAGGCCATTCAACCCATCAAGCCTGCAATGACCTTCTGAAGAGCATCCCACCTGCAAGCACCCACCCTACCCCTGTAATCCCACATTTACTGTGGCCATCTCACCTGCCTCCACACCTTTGGACTGTGGGAGGAAACTGAAGCATCTGGAGGAAACCCACGCAGACAAGGGGAGAATGTGCAAATGCCACACAACCAGTCACCCAAAGCTGGAATCAAACCTGGGTCCCCGGCACTGTGAGGTAGCAGTGATAACCATTGATTCACCATGCTCCCCACTCTGCATTCTTCTCATCTGGTCCCTGTGCATTCCTTAACTTCAGAGTTAGCAGCCAAATCTTTAGCAGAGAAGTCCCTAAGCTCTGGAATTCCTTCACAAAATTTCTTTCAAGATGGTTCTTAAAATCAAGCTCATTGGTGAAGCTTTTGGTTACTTGTCTTCATGTTTCCTTCTCTTTGGCCAGTGTGTTAAAGGTTCCACATAAATAAAAGTTTCTGTTGAAATTCTTACAAAATCATAAGATAACTATAGGTTTGAGGACCTCTTGGCCTATGTTACTTCAATCATCCTGAAATACCATACCTGCCTCCCACTGCAGAATCTCATTGTTTTATTTATTGTATCCTGGCATTCTGCCTCCACCACTATAGAGCTTTGCAGTTGTCATGGTGAAGATACACTCCATTTATCTTTCCTCCCAGGTATTCCCATCCTTCACCCTTATCTGAAAGCACTAAGTCCTGCTGAAGTACAGTTCCACAAGAGCTTGCTGCACTTTCACCTCAAAATCTCTCCAACTCAATGAAGGCATTTATTTTGCTCTTCAACCAGATTAACCCCAATAATACAAGTGAATCATTTGAACTTGAGAGACTAGGTTGGTCATGTCAGAATTTATTTGATCTCAAAATTTCTCATGACAAACATGTTAGCTAAATTATCCCCATAGGATTAAAGAGACAGAGACAGGGATTGAAAATTGGCTCAAAGCGGTGAATAGTTGTTTTCCGGAGATGTGGAAATTATACAAGGGGGTCAAATATATTAACAACCTGGATTTGGGTATGCAAGACATGATTATGATGTTGTGCAGCTGATATAAAACTTGGAAAAGTAATACAAAATACAGAGGGGGGGTAACAAACTTCATAACAAGGAAGTTGCGAACAGATATGGTAAATCAGACAGACACATAAATGGCTTTGCCAGATAGTGCACTTGTGTGTACTGGAACATACCTATATTAGTACACAGGTCTCTGATCTTTGCATACAGAAAGTAAATGTACATACACGGTGCCTGCTTCGATGCAACAAAGTAGGTGACAGCCACTCTGTTGTACATTTCTCGGGACAATGCTAACCAAATCAGACTCAACCTGCTTGTTTAAGATTTAAACAAAGTTTGGCTGCTAACTGAATAAACAGAGTTTGGGAGTTAACTGTGAAGCATCATTAATTGGTGCATTACACATGGCAACATCTCTACCATTCATAGAATAGTTGCCAACACCTCGTACAGTTCAAATGCCGTTTTCCCTTTACTTTGGTGTTTCTCCTGAATTGTCCTGTTGAGTGCAAGATGAAAAGCATCAACAAAATATATATCCTTTTTCAGCAATATTAAAGTTCTGTACTACCAAGTGACTTATCAGATTCTTGGCTTTAGTTGTCATAGAGATGTGAGAGTTATAGTCAAAGTGCTATCACACTCCCCCTGCCACATTTAAGAGTAGTTGCTGTTGGGGGAAAGAAATCTGCCCACTTGTGACCCCACACCAATATGATTGAAGCTTTCACTGTCCTTCAAAGTGGCTTGACAAGCTACTCAGTATAGAAGAACTGAGCAGCTTCCCCACATTGAACTTCGAAAGTTGAAAAAGGAGGGCCACCACATTCCAGAGCAATTAGGAAGAGGATAATAAAAAAAGTCTTGCCCAGATTCAGAGAACAAATATAAGGAATTGCACTGTTTTTTATAATTGATTTTGTGTTTTTCTTTTTCATTCTTTTGTAGCTATTCCTCTTCAAAATGATCCATTACTCAGAACCGTACCCCTTCTCACAGTGCGCGACCCTTGAAAGCTTTCATGGAGAGCTGGACCAGAAATTTTACAACCTCTTCACCTTTGGATTTCTTTTTGTTATCCCTCTACTCATCATGCTGATCTGCAATTCCAGAATAATCATCACTGTGACAAGTGTCCTGAACCCAAAAGATAACCGTATGCTTGAAATATGTTTAGAAAACTTTCTAGTCACCTACTATCGAAATGATCCTATATGTTCCTAATTCAGAAAACGATACAATGTAATTAGTGCCAAGCATATTTCTGGAGTTAAAATATATTATACATCAGATTAAAGTAAATTAATTATTTTAAATAACTTAAAGAAGTAGTTCATCATTGTCATATAAGGGTTGTGATATACTAATGAGACTATATATCATCACAGGAAGTGATGCAATTTCACATGATCTTGCTCACCAATGTAACCTCATGGCATGTTCAGGGACAGTAAGTGTTTTCTTAGATCAAATTAGTGTTTTCTGTACCCCTGAAGATTCTTTTAAAACTTGTAGCCAGTGTGTTGAGACAAAGAATACAAAACATTTGTTTGTTTAAAGTGGAGCTTATACATATATAAAGGTGTTAATCACAGGAATTTCTATCAGGCATACACAAAATGATGGACAAGAAAAGGCTTATCATTCTATCCAGGTTGCCTCGTATAATAGTAGTGTCTTGTGTATAAAAGTACAGACACTTGCTATCCCAACCAGTATCAGGAGACTGCCTAGGAGAGACAAGAAAAAGGGTTTAAACCCCAATCTGAATTTCCTCTCTGATCACCTGAGGCAACTAAAACTAATCCAACAGACTTATATTTCTTTACACTTAAAGAAAAATTGTATTTCTGAATTCAATAATTCTAATACACACTGAGATTGTAACAGTGTAAAATTTAGCAAGGGGACAGAATTCCTAAAATGTGTATCAGATAACTTTTTTTTTGATCAATATGCTTCCATTCTAATTAGAAAGGATATACTAGATTTGGTTCTGGGGCATGAAGTAAGGCAAATTGAGCATGTTTCTGAAAAAGTGCATTTGTTAACTCATATAACATCTGGTTTAGAAAAATTATGGAAAAGAACAAGGTACAATCAAGTGTAAAAAAAGTAAAAATAAAGTTGCCATAGTCCTGCTCTCTCATTAGAGAGAGAGATGACTGGTGGTAGTTTAACCTGAGGGTTACTGCACCTCAGACAAAGGGCAAGGTTGAGAAAGTGAGACTTTCATAACATCTCAGCCAGAACAGGAATTAAACCCATGCTGTTAGAGTACTTCTGCATTACCAGCCGGCTGTCCATCCAACAGAACCAACCAACCCTTCATGTAAAACTGCTTAACTAGGGGAGGGGTAACTTCATTAAGTTAAAATGTCCAAGTGGATTAGAATTGAGCATTAGTAAGCAAAACTGTAACTGTGCAATGGGGTTTTTAAAAAGCAGATGATTTGGATCAATAGTGAGTGGGGGAATTTTTAATGAACATATTCAAAATCACATTATTTTAGCAAGTATGGAGACTTAAAAAGTTAAACCAAGAATTAGATAAGTACTTGAAAGGAAAGCAAAATTGCAGAACTATGAAAGAGAATGAGTACGTAGGACTAATGAAGTAACTCTCCTAGAGCTAACACAGGTAAATGGGCTGAATGACCTCTTTATAGGCTATATTACATGATGCAGTGATTCATAAAGTTTTAGATTGTTTTCTTAAGTTATGCCAAAGCTTCATAAATCATTGTTTAGGCAGCTGCATTCAATTCACCATATTCTACAAAGGACGTAAAAGCCTTGGAGATGGTGCAGAATAGGTTTATGATAATCTGGCCAAAGATGAGGAACTTCAGTGATATGGTATGGCTAAAAAAAACTAGGGTCATTTTCTTTAGAGCACAGGACATTAGAAGGACACATAATAGAGCTGTTCTAAATTGTAAGAAGTTGGAAAAAAGATATTGGCCATGATATTAGCGAGGAGACATGAACAGAGAATGGTTAGGGATTGATGGGGAATAACATGGAAGAAGCCAGAAATGTCCAAGTTTAACAGGGTTGGCTCATTATCATTATGCCTCCAGATTTTGTACATGTTCTGCACATAAGCAGACTTGATGTGGATCCACGTTCCACAATTTCCCCTCAACTATTTAAAACGCCCAGTTCACAGTAGAAATACAGTAGGAAGTTTGTTGATTTGCATTATAATAGATAAACCAGAAAGTTAAAGGATGAGTAGAAGAAGAGAAAGACATTCAGATACATACTGGTTTGACTGCTGGGGACAGGAGCAGTAGGGAGGAATTGTTCTCAGTGAGTGGGTGAAGGACACAAGCTGCCACCACCAAAAGGCTCTTTTGGAACTGTCAGAGAAGGTGAACAGCAGGAATGTCATCCTAAAGTCTTGGATTCAGTGCTGCAAGCAGTTTAATGACCTGACCAGGTTAGGAAAAGTGAGAACATAGCTATTTTTTACCCCTGCAATGCAATCCCACTCACTATATCTCGTCACTCCTTATGCCTGCTGCACTTTCATTAGAATAAATGAAACTGATTCAATGCATATCCTCTCATCTGCTCTCCTTTTATATCCTCATCTCCTGTTTCCTTCTTATCAGTGCCAGTGACTCCAATCCTCATCTCATCAGTATTGACTGTAGTCACCTCCATTTATTGTCATTACCCTGCCAGAAATGACAGCCCAATTGTCAAAGGCTTGCAATGTTACCTATTTTGCAATTGCCTGATTCTTACCTCACTACATCCACTAGAATGCATACATTGTACAGAATCATTTCTAGGGATTTATGCTGCATTGTTGGAGAAGAAAGTGCAGAATGCCACTGGGGACCTTTGGGGGATCCTAAGGAATGAGTATCATTTCCCTGGTAGAAGAGAAGGTGCCTGTGATCAACAGCATGATGAGCTGCTTTTTGTCATTTGTGTAAATGATTTGAATGTGAGTACAGGAGGTATTGTTTGTAAATTTGCAGATGACGCCAAAATTGGTTGTGTAGTGAAGAGCGAAGAAAGTTACCTCAGAGTACAACAGGATCTTGAACAGATGGGCCAGTGGGCGAAGGAGTGGCAGATGGCGTTTAACCTAGATAAATGTGAAGTGATACGTTTTGGTAGGGCAAATTAGGGCAGCACTTATGCACTTAATAGTAAGGTCCTGGGTAGTTGTGCCAAACAAAAAGACCTTGGAGTGCAGGTTCATAGTTGCTTGAAATTGGAGTCGCAGGTAGACAGGGTAGTGAAGATGTTCGGCATGCTTGCCTTTGTTGGTCAGTGCATTGAGTATTAGAGTTGGGAGGTCATGTTGCAGCTATACAGGACATTGGTGAGGCCACTTTTGGAATACTGTGTTCAGTTCTGGTCTCACCGCTATAGGAAAGATGTTGTCAAATTTGAAAGGGTTCAGAAAAGATTTACAAGGATGTTGCTAGGGTTAGAGATTTTGAACTACAGGGAGAGGCTGAATAGGCTGTGGCTATTTTCCCTGGAGTGTTGGAGGCTAAGAGGGGATCTTATAGACGTTTATAAAATCATAGGATGAATATTCAAGGTCTTTTTCTCCAAGGTAAGGGAGTCCAAAAATAAAAGGCAAAGATTTAAGGTGAGAGGGGAAAGATTTAAAAGGGACCTAAAAGGGGCAACCTTTTAATGCAGAGGGTGGTATGTGAATGGAATGAGCTGCCAGAGGAAGTGATGGAGGCTGGTAGAATTAGGAAAGGAAAGTCAGTGATCTCAAGGCCAAGGGCAACTGCCACCTCCATGTTTGGAGATGCTGCTCCAGTATTGGGCTCATCAAGGACCCAAAGAACACATGGCCAGTGACAAGATACTACCTCAATGGGCAATCATACTCATTAGCGAGTAATTACTGCTACCGAAGATATCATTGTTTCTCCAAGAGATCAAGGAGGCTTCAATACCTGTTGGGTGGGTAGGGATTTCAATGAACACAGGCCTGCCATTGCTGCCTTTTTTTTGCCATTCAACTGCCTTCTCCTCAACATGTCATTTGAACCCAACTTAAACATGTTTATGAGGTTCCTGTCTGTTCAGAGCTGGGCACTCAAATGCCCTGTTAACAGTTAGAAGTCATGGAGAATAGCTTTGGATTGGGAAAAGGTTGAGCAATTTTTGCCTTCTTTTAACCAGATACTGATTTTTTTCCCACCCACAGGATTGAATGTATGTGGATTAATATCAAAGCTGTTGTTTCTAACAGCAGGACAGTTGATAACGTATAGACAAAGATATAAGATCATTGGCAAAAGAACCTGAGGGAAGTTAAACGTAATATTTTATTTACAATGAGTTATGATCTGGAATGTACTGCTTGAAAGACTGATGAAAGCAGAATCAGTAATTCCATAAAAATTTAATTGACTAAATACCTAAAACAATATGCAATTTAATATCTGCTGGAAATATCCAGAACAATATGAGCATCCTGGGGTTGATATCTGTCTAGGATGAATTGCAAAATGGATAGAATTGTATTAATTATGAGCTCTTGTAAAATTGCCTCTCAGGTGAGTGGGCATATAATAGGGTAGCTTGTGTATTATAATTTGTTTTACTTTACCAACTTAGGAACATCCATTCCTCTTACCTGAACTGCAATATCAAATTGAGTGTCCTTTTTCCCATAGAAAATGCCAATTTCAATCAACTTAATCATTTTCCATATTATCGTTGTTAATGAGACAGTACTAACGTTCCAGCAATTCTGGGTCCCAGAAATGAAAGACCAAGAGAAACCAAGAAATCCCAATTTTCTTTGTCTTTTCTTTGTACAACCTTAAATTGTGTGTAAGATTAGGGATGGTGGTGGATAATGTCACTGCAAAGTTTTGGGAAGAACAGAGCAGTCTGTGAAGATAAATGGACATGCTAGAAGGTACAACTGCTTGATTTTATTGAGATCAGCTTGTTTTCTAGTTTACTCACACTGAGGACTATCCATCATCATTCCTCAGAGCTACCTTAGAACCATACAAAACCCCAGAGTCGTATTTACTGTAATATGCAACTTAGCGTTCACTGCTGACCTCTACATTGCTTGATGGTGCTAAATTTTTGTAAATATTTATTTTACAGAGATGAAGCTGAGCCGATCCAGCAATGCCTTATCATTAGCTCGCAAGAAAACAATAAAAATGACAATAGCGTTTGCCACTTCTTTTATGATCTGCTGGACTCCATACTACTTGATGGGAATTTGGTATTGGTTTGATCGCGATCTACACCACAAGTTACCTGATCCTGTCAATCACTTTTTATTTCTTTTTGGGTTACTAAATCCTTGCTTTGATCCATTTATTTATGGGTATTTTTCTCTTTAATGCATGCTTAAATGTGACATTTGTCTTTTAATAGTATATTGTTAATCAGTTTTACTTTTATTGCTTTCATTCTCTGTGTAGTTCAGTTCCATTTCTCTGCTCAGTCACATAGCCCTAGCAATACCGTGACATCCCTGGCACACAGACCAACAATGTTGTGGCAATGTCTCAGCATGTATACTGTGAGTTCTGGGATTTTTGACTCATGTACCAGCCAGGTCATGATAGTCCCACACTTCTGTAGTCCATGTTGTGACGACTATCTTGTAATATAAAGTCCATGTATTGATAGTTCATGCAAACAATTATTTAGGATCCAGTATTTTTCAGTTGACTGCTTGTGTGGGCTAATTCACCTGGACAGCTATAAGGTTTCTGATAACTCTGCACCAGTATTCCAGACATAAAATGGATGTCTCAGGGATTAATGCATTGACCAGCTTGCAAACACTTACTCAGTAACTAATATGTTCTACTCACCATATTGAGACACCTTTACCTTTAAACATCCAAACATAAGAAGTGGTAAAATATTTGTTATTTAGTTTATATATAGGGGATCATACATTTGTGAAATTGGGTTATCATGTTTGAGTTGACCACTCGCTCCATGTTGTGCAGAATAATCCCCATGCTCTGCACAAAATACAAAGACAGGACAGAGTTGGAATTCTCCATTCAAACTGCTTAATACATATCACACTTTGTGAATTACATCTGTGGCATTCATAGGTAACCTAGCCCTAGGATATGGAAGCTGAGTATTCTGCAGTACATAAAAACGTAGAAAATAGTAGCAGAAGTTGGCAAATTGGCCCTTCAAGTCTGCTGTACCATTCAATATGATCATGGCTGATCACCCAACTTGGTACCCTGTTCTCACTTTCCTCCCATACATTTGATCCCTTTAGCCTGGAGAATTGTATCTAACTCCCTCGTGAAAACAAGATATTTTGGTCTCACCATTCTCTGGCTGAAGAAATTCTCCCACCTCAGTCCTAAATGACCCATGCAGTAACCTTGGACAATGACCTCTAGTTCTGGACATCCTGGCCATTGAGAATATTTTTCCTGCGTTTACCTGTTCTAGTCCTGTTAGAAATTTATAGATTTACGTACGGTCCCCCTCATTCTTCCAGTGTCTCTTCATATGTCAGCTTTGCCATCCTAAGAATCAGTTTGGTAAATCTTTGTTGCACTCTCTTCATAGCTAGAACATTCTTCCTCAGATAAGGAGATCAAAACTGCATACAATACTCCAGGTATGTTCTCACAAGTGTCCTGTACAATTGTAGAAAGACATCTCTGCTCCTGTACTTAAATCCACTCACTGTGAAAGTCAACAGACCATTTGCCTTCTTGTCTGCCTGCTGCAACAGTATTCTCACTTTCAGTGACTGATGTATAAGGACATGAACCGAGTATTGCTTTCGAGGGGGTGTAGGGAAGATTCACTATGATGTTGCTGGGATGGAGGAGTTTAGCTTTGAAGAGAAGCTGGATAAGCTCGGGTTGTTTTCTATGAAGTCGAGAAGGCTGAGAGCGGATCTGATTGAGGAGTATAAGATCCTCAGTATGATAAGTATAAGTTGGATAGAAAGCAGTTGTTTTTTCCCTTCATTGAAGACTCAATAGCAAGGGGACAAATTTTAAGAGGAAAGGCAGGAGGTTTAAGAGTGGATTTGAGGAAAAGCTTTTTTCCTTTAGAAGGTGGTGGGAATCTGGAATCCATTTCCTGGGAAGGCAGCAGAGGCAGACAAATTTTAAAATGTACTTGGTGAGCATTTTATGCCATAAATGAGACAAGTAAATGTACCATCCATTAGATTTGTAGGTGACACAAAAATAGATGGGAAAGCAGGTGGTGAGGATAACACAAAATGTCTGCAGAGGAATAAAGAAAGGTTAAGCGAGTGTGCAAAAATAGGGCAGATTAAAATGTGAGCTTATCCAATTTGGCAGGAAAAATTGAAGAGCTAAATTTTATTTAAATGGAGAAAGGCTGCAGAAAGCTACAGAATAGAGGGATCTGGGGGTCCTCGTGCATGAATCGCAAAAAGCTAGCATTCAAGTTCTGTGGTTAATTAGAAATACATGGGGAATGTTGGCCTTTATTTCAAAGGGAATGGAGCTGAAAAATAAGGAGGTTTTGCTAACACTATGCAAGGCACTAGTCAGACCACCACTGGAATACTGTGAATAGTTTTGTACCAAGGAACGATTTATTGGAATTTGAGGCAGTCCAGAGAAGATTCTCTAGGCTGGTCCTGGGTGTGGAGGAATTGACTTATGTGGAGAGGTTGAGTGGGTTGAACTTGTAAGCATTGGAGTTTAAAAGAATGAGAGGCGACCTTGTTGAAACATACAAGATTTTTAAGGGACCTGACAGGGTAGATACGGATAGCTTGTTCCCATGTGAGAGAGTCTAGGGCCAGAGCTCATAATCTGGCATAAAGTGTCACCCATTTAAGACAGAGATGAGGATAAATCTCAAATGTGAGTGGATCTGTAGAATTCTTTACTACAGAGGGCTGTTGTGCCTGAGTCATTAAGTACATTCCAGACTGAGAAAGACGGATTTTTAGTCAGTTAGAATCAAGAGTTATGAAGAAAAAGCAAGAAAGTGGAGGAGGTAATCAACCATGATCTCATTGAATGGCAGAGTAGACTTGATGGGCTGATTGATCTATTTCTGCTCCTGCATCTTACAATCTTCTGGGTGCAATGTGAAATCAGAAGGGGAAAAGAGGATAAGGTTTGAAGAAACCCTTTGTAACATTGCTTTGCCAGTCATCACAGCCGAGAACCATTTTGTGCCGTATGAACACTTCCTTTTCTTTCACTTCAGGATTGGATGTGCAAGCAGCCACCTCCTATTCGTGGCTTTCAGGCACAGCTGCAACCTTCTCCTGCAAGAAATGAGTTTTCTGAGTGTTCAGGGAAATGATTTTCAGACTAGATTTCTACTCTGTGTGTAAGGTGGCAGGTGTAGGGAAGTAAAGTTTGAAAACTGATGAAGGTTTGTGCGACAATTGTAGGAAACTGATGGGAAATTGGGAAAGACAATGCTGTGGGCAGTGAGGCTGCGGTGAGTGTTGGAAATGTGAGAAGAGACTACAAGATGTGAGAATTGGGGTTCTTTCTTTAACTGTGAGTGAGACCATTGAACGTGTTCCTGCTTTGGAATAATATCCTGAGAACTAAATATCAATCTCCTATGTAGCTTCTCATTGAGGCTGAGGTGTTGCCTGGAAGACTATTCGGAAGCAATATCTCCCTCTTCCTGTGCAGTGCCTGAGCCAGAGCCTCAAGTGTGGTATTTGGGAATGTAGGAACCTTGTCTTGCGGTGAGTGCTTTTTTAGAATCATTTCCTGTTTCCTGCAGTCAGTGTGCACATTCCTTTAAAAGATGCCTGCCACGTTGAAGTGCCACTTGAACATAAGAATTAGGAGTAGGAGTAGGCCATTCAGCCCTTCTAACCTGCTCTGCCATTCAATGAAATCATTGATTGTTGCTTAAACCTGCATTCCTGCCTGCCTCTGATAATCCGTCAGTGTCTCAGGCACGCAGCCTGATCCAGGCCCACTACAACAGGTCTGAAGCCACAGGTGGAGAAGATAATTCCATGCTGCCAATTTAACTCAATCCATGAGACTACATTAACACATATGTGCAACATGTCCCACAGACTCCCTTGCCTCCATTTTTAGGTCTAGTTGAATTTCTAGCCAATTGCTTTTCTAGCAGTGACTAAAACTTGCAAAATGAAAAGGTGCAAAAAGTAGGTCGAGGGAATGCAATTAGAAGAAGGTGTATAGGATATAAATATAACATTTGCCGATCAGCATTTGGAAATTAGCAAGGGCTAACTTTAACTCCATCCATCCGAACAGGGGAGTGTAACTCCTTCAAAATTGCATCAGACCATTTACCAGCTCTTGTCCTAGCAGTCCATTCATCACCATTTGGGAGAACCCACCTTTTTGAGGAGGAAGGTCATGAGTTGAGAGATGTGACAATACACTTTGGATGCCAATATATATATTAAAAAAATGCCTGTGTGGTGCAACCTCCATCCACTGGTTTTATATATGCAGCATCCTAATCTATGATCCTAAAAGACAGGGTGAAGCCCTGTCACTAAACTGTCCAAACAATGTTCAATTACTTTATGATGGACCAGGTAAAGCAGGAGTGATTGGCCTCAAAAATAATTCCAGCCCTTTATCAGCTCAATTGAGGTTTCACTGGGTGATCTCACTGCACATCTTCACCACTTTTACCATCACCACCACCTCCTTCCCTGGCCAGCATATATCCTACCACCAGGTTCCAAATACCAGCCAGCACTGGAGACAATGATCTTACTGCCCATCAACAATCAGTGATCTGTACCCAGGTACCCACAGCCTGCTGGGGTAATGTTGCATGTTCATTATTTTTATGTAAGTGTGCATGGATAAGTTTTGCCAGTTGAACAACATATATCAGATCATGTCTGTTGCTCGTGTGTGTTCACCTTACTTTGGAATAAAGAGAATTTTTGATTCAAACCGATTCTGATCTCATCTCATGTTCACTCAGTCTACCATGACAGGGATATTAGAATTGGTAGATGCAGGAAGTCTTCAACTACCATCCTGGTAATTGCAAAATGCACTATTAATAGAATTGTTGGTCCATTATACCTGTATCAAATTTGTCTATAACAGATTCAGACATGAGGCAAGGAAATCATCTGTTGCAGAGAGCTTTAGTAAGGCTCATTTATTTCTCCCAAATATTCTACACTTACTACAAGTCATGCCTCAAATCACCCATGTATGGTATCCCAGAATGTTAATTTGTGCAAGAATTAATACCAGTTACTTTTAATATCTCTCAGTGAATGAGATGAGGATAATTATAGGCAGGTGATGATACTAATCTGTCAGACAGCTGTCTGTTCTCTATTTGAATTCAAAGGTCAGCTATGGGGCAGGGAGACAGTGCGTTAAGT